ATGTTAATCTCGTTCAACAATCATGAAAAACAGCAGATTTATACCAGAAAAAATATGTGATTTAAAAGTAACAATGATCTAAAACAGACCTGAAGTCAGCCTGTAACTTAGATTTTAGCTAGTTGAAAAATGATGACTTCAGCTAGTAATAAAGTATATTTATTATTTCTTCTCACTGTCATAAAAAATAAGAATATTTATATTTACCAGTGAACAGTTAGAAAATGTTCTCTGGTTATTGGATGAAACTTGTCTATTAGCTAACCATCTTCTCAACAAGTCAGGTTCCTCTAAACTATAAAATATTAATAATTGGATTAATATTATTATTAATAGTTTTAATGATTTCTATATCGTCAGTCCTGTTTTTCTGCTCTGTTGTCAACATGTACAGTAATGGGAAATCCAGAGTCTTGCCCGTTTAGCGTTAGCCCTTAGCTTCTCCAGCCGATCACACGATCATGTGGTTTTTGCGCACCCCAGTTCTATTGAACCTCCTTGGTAAAATCTTATCAGTTGTTATCTATGAAGCTCAAGGACACAAAGATAAACCAATCACTACCTCTGGCTGTTATGAAGCCCGTTTAGTGCTTCTGCTCAATAATTGTCTTATCTTATCGTTTCTGTTTTTATCTGACACCTACAGCTCTAATGGTTGGATTTTAGAGTCAGCTCATGTCTGTGGACAGGTGTTAAAAAAGGCAGCAAAAATGTTCATAATTAGTTATATAAACTCTTAGATTAATGCTCGTGTGCGGTTTAGATTTTCTAAAAAAAAAGAGGAGGAAAATAAATCCTAAAGTGCAGATTGGAGATGAGCAAATGCTGTGACTTTTAGCAAATTGTCTTCATTTTTATTGTGTACGTGTTCCCCATCTCTTTGACTGTTGAATGTGCTGGTTTCATTTTGTTCGGCTTTCACTTTTCAGCAATGTGACGTTAAATGTTGAGTTCACAGATTGGAGAGTTTATTTATTGTTGCAGATTACCTACAGTTCTCCAGAGGTGACTATAAAAACAAATAGGGACTGAAATACCTGTGCTCACAGATAATCTAAATATTATCAGCAGTCTAGTTTTGTAGGTTAAAAGGTACTCAGGTTCACTGCCCTCGAGACAGAGAAAGGTTCATACACTCTGCGGAGAAACGCCAACTAAAGCACTTCTCAAACACAGACTCTGAACTCATCCTGTGAACCGTTTAATGCCATGAAACAGTATTTGACCATTTTTCTTCTTGAATATTCCACAGATGCTCAAACTGTGATAAACAAGGAAAATCAGTACCTTGAAATGTTGGTAATGCTTTCTTTTACGGTACCCTAATTACCATGTAATTACAAGGTAATAAAAAGATGTAATTAAATGTAATTACTACCTTATTACCATGTAATTACGTGGTAATTAGGGTACAATTCTCCTATGTAATTAATTGTCTGCAGTAATGTAGCACTCACCTGGAAATGTATTACAATTCACTATGTAACACCTAAATAAGTAGTAGGTAATTTGGACAGTTTTAAAATAATATTTTATTGCAATTAACCACTAACCCCAAAATTTAGTTGCATTCTTTTGGTTATAAATATAGTGTTGATTTACTATTGAATAGTAATTTGATTGTAGTTACCCAATAAAGGTAGTTTTACTAACAGTAGTTTTTCTTTTGTACCATAATTACCACGTAATTACATAGTAATAAGGTAGTAATTACATTTAATTACATTTTATTATTACCTTGTAATTACATGGTAATAAAGGTACCGTAAAAGAATGTGTTACCGAAATGTTTGCTCCCTAAATTATTTCTTGAATTTCTTGAGTAATATTTCTAAAAGGGACCAGTGCTGTGAATATTGATGCTTTTTTTTTCTTTCTTTTGGCACACACTGCTCGTTACGGAGTCACGATCAGGTGCAGGTTCTGAAGAGAAGATGAGTGAAAAAGCAGCCAAAGTTCTAAGTAAAACTTCGTACTAATCGAGACCATTTTACTCAGTTCGATAGAATATCGTGTAAGGTTGAAAACTTTTGCGCAGTCTGGGACTCACAGAGAGCGACGGCGTTGAGCATGCCGGTGTAGGGCGGAGCCGCCACACACTGATAGATGATGCCGATGCGGTCCTGCACGGCCCCCTTGGTGACGTCCGTGTCCAAGTGCATGACGAAGAAGGCCACGAAGAAGCCATAGATCAGGTTCTGGGACAGACGCATGAGAACCCCCATCCTGTTTCTGGAGAAGTTTCTAACCGTGCGCCTGAACACACACAGAAACACATACATCAGAAAATAAGCCCCAGCTTCAAGGAGAGGTTATTTTTTTCTCTCCTTTTGAATCGTTAACCGTACCGACCTGATCAGAACCTCAAGCTTGGCGGCCCCGTTGGGTGAATCCTTGCTCTTAAAGGGGATGGCCGGCTTGTCTGATATCTGCAGGCTCTGCTCCATTTTGTCCAGCATGTCCTGGTAGATGGCAGATCTCTGGTAGGATGAGGTGATCTCGTGCATGCGACTGAACGTGGCTGCCTCCCTCTCACTGCTACGCGTGTCCACCGAGGTGAAGTCCACTGTTTGGACACCATAAAAACAAGGACGTTTCTTTTTTTTAAACTCTATTACTAAACAAAAAGTGGGCTTAATTACATCTGAATGAGGATAATACCGTAGGTATCGAAAGGGTTGCAGTACTCTGGGCACTCGTATCCACATTGGCTGAAGAAACCCACCATCTCCTCCGGTTGTCCGCAGAAAACCAGCTCTCCTTGACTCATTATTGCAATCCTGCTGAACACCTGAACGTCCAGCACAGTATACACATCAACCAATACCTTTATTCAGTATCTTGAAGTTTTCCACATTTTGTCATCTTGCAACTACAATCATTAACATCTGTCTCTGGGATTTTATGTGACAGACACAGTAGCTCTTAAATGTGAAGAGGAAGGTTTTCTAAACTGTTTATAAAACAATCTGAAAAGTGTGAGTAAAGTACTTTTCAAAACCACCTTTCCCTGCAAGTCTTTAGAGGCTCGTTTGAGTATCTAGAGGCAGAAACTTTTGTCTAATTTTCTTTGTAAAATAGCTTCAGCTCAGTCAGATTAGATGGAGAGTGTTCACCAATAGCAATTTTCCCAGAGCTGGATTTAGATCTAGACTTTGACTGGCCCTTTCTTTCTTGCTTTTCTATACTTTACTTTTACTTTATTAGAGATTCTTTTGATATAATGTACACGGAGATGGAAAAGAAAATAGAAAAGAAAAGGAGAAAGGTGAAGAAAGAGGTTAAAAGGGAAAGAAAATAGTAATGGAGAAGAGAAAGAAGCAGCGAGAACACAACAGTCTGCCTCTACACCTGCAAAAAGAAAAGAAAAAACAAAAACCGCAGCAACAAACAGCATGCGTGTATAATAAATAATAATAATTACAGCCTTACTGAAATTGACTGCCCTTAGGAAAAAGTACTTGAAGTTCATTTTAATAAGTATACTTGAGTATAAGTTTAAGTATATCAAGTATACTAGGCACCATGTAGTTGTAGTGTACTAGAAAGTATACTGATTTAATATATGTTCGTACTAAACTGGGACTTTTTAAGTTTTAAGTTTATACAAAGTATAATTTAAGTATACTGTTATAATGTGTTTTAAAGTTTATAAGCTTATCAAAAGAAGTATACTTTAAGTACATGTCATTAAAATATTAAAGAATATAAAAGTGTATTTCCCTAAATTTGCTTTTATTTACCATGTACACTGATACACTATCAGTTTACTAACAAGTGTAATTCTAGGACTAAATTGGCCCACAATAAGTTTATGAAATAATTCTCAGAAGTATACTGAAAGTAGTATGTTTAATCTTGAAATATACTACAAATAAAACAGTCTATGTGAAAATGTACTTTCACTTTTGGCCAAGAGAAACTTTAGTAGTACTAAAGTTTATCTTGGCCAAAAGGTTAAACATTAGTATGGACTAAGTATACTTAAACTTTTAGTATATTTTCAGTACAAGCCAAGTATAGTGTAAGATAAACTTGGTTTTATCTCAGATAAGTACACAAAAAGTTAACTGGAAGTATACTCTTTTATTTATTTATTTATTTATTTATTTATTTATTTATTTATTTATTTATTTATTTAGTTAGTTAGTTAGTATACTTAAAAGATACTTGAATGTACTACCTTTTTGTTAAGGATGGGCCTTTCTAACACATGAATAATGTTTCGTCGTAACTCTGGCTGAATGTTTCAGGTTGTTGTTCTTCTAGATGGTGAACCTCCACCTCAGTCTCAAGTCTTTTGCGGCCTCTAACTCGTTTTCCACCAGGATTACTTGTATTTAGCTCCATCTATCTCCCCATACAACCCTGACCAGTTTCCCTGTCCCTGCTGAGGAACATCCACCCCCCACATCATGATGCTGCCACCACCATGTTTCCCAGTGGGGATGTGCTTGGCCTCAGTTAAGGTTGGAAGGCTTACAGTTGTGCCACACTCTAATTTTAACTAATTTTACTTAGTAAGATTTTTGAAAAACTTGATCTGACTCTATTTTTTCTCATTTCTAGAATCTTACCAAGTAAAATTTTCTTACTCCATTGGTAGAAATTTTTGACTTAATTTGAGTGAAATTTTCAGACTAACAAGACAAATAATCTTACGCATTCTGAAAATAAGATTATTATTCTTACACAATCAGTTCTTGTTTAGTAAATCAGTCTCAAAACAAGATCAAAAAGACTTTTTGGCTGGATAGAAGATTTTAAAACTTGGTAAGACAGACAGTTTTTGCAGTGTAAACAACTTCATCCATCACCTGTCTGGTGTGTTCCTTGGTCTTCATGACCGTTTGAGCACTAATGTTCAGTGACAAACCTCTGAGTTCTCACAGAACAGCTGTAGTTATACAGAGATTAAATTACACAAAAGTAGACTCAATTAATTAGGAGACTTCAAAAGGTCGTTCTGATTTTAGTTAGAAAGTATCAGAGTGGATGTTTGGATGTTTGTGGCTGTAATTTCAAAGATTATGAGTACTTTTTCAAGGCATCATCTTCATAAATCAAGGTTCTCATTCTGCTAAAGTTAGTCCCAACAAACAACTGCTTCAGTGAACGAATGCAGAAACAGCTCAGTCACTTTTCTCTCCCGTTCACCTCCAAACCCACCCTGAAGAGTTCGGAGCGAGGCTGATGGATGGTCACTATAACGATGCGGTTCCTCCGGGCCAGCTCCGCCAGCAGCACCACGATCTGATTGGCCGTCATGCTGTCCAGGCTGGTGGTGGGCTCGTCCAATAGGATCACCCCTGCAACGACACCATCCCGGTGACCTCACGGCTGCCTCTGCATGGTGAGTGAAACTCTGAGCACAAAGTTCAAGGTCAGACAATAACTTCTCTTTATTTCAGCCAAGTTTGAAACTTCTAAATGCTTATTAAGTGGCACCAGCCGGACTCTCTGTGGGGCCAAAACTTGTGAAGATAAGTGAGTTCTCTCTCCCCCTTTTTTTAAGTTAATTACTCTAATTAGGACAATTAAAAGATTGCCTCTTTGCATTATAAAAGTAGAGTGGAATTAGCAGATGCCTTAATTGTGAGATTAATTCATTTCCTGGTTGATTGAAGAGGCAGCGAAAGGGAACTTCTCATTACTCTTTGAGTGTGTGAGTGTGTGTGTGTTCATGGCCATTTAATCCTGAATGAGGACGAAGACCCTCCATCCTCCCTGGAGGACTATAGACCTGATAAACTCCACCTGGAGGGGTGCGCACACACACACCGAGGTTGGTCTCTGCTCATTCTCTTCATGGTGTGATAACCCGGTCCTTTAATACTCTTCTCCATCTCCTCCTCTGTCCTTTCCTTAGTCCCATTCTACTTAGATTCTTTTGTTTTCCTCCAGCACGGACTTTGAAACTCTTGAGGTGAGACACAGGTCAGGTTGAAAACTTTTTTTTTTCATCTGGTCACAGTACAGGTCTTGTTTTTCCTACAGCTTAAATAAACTTAGCATAAAAAGTAAGGAAATTAGTGTTTGGTAGATGATTTCTTTGTTGTAACAATGCTTTTTGGCAATAAATCTTATATTGTTGGAAAGCCTGTTAATTTCCCTTTTAAATGGTGCCACATTTGTAAGGAACATGCATTTGTGGGATGAGCTGAGCATGTGGGCTGCACACATCAAAAATTGGCTTATTTTGCCATTTCTATTGGTACCGGGTGTGAAGTTTATTACCAAGCAGCATTGGGCCTCACGCAAAAACTGTTCGCATGTACAGATTTGTTCTTAAGTTGCGCGCACGAGTGATTTAGGAGAATTTGTTGCATTCACCAATGTTTTCTAAGATTTTTTTCAGATACGAACAAAATTCACGTGTGGTCCAGACCTGTCGTATATTTTACGAGCAGTCAGTCTGCTGTTATCCAGACGGGTTTTCTTCATTAATAACCTTATATTTCGTTAGTTTGAAGATATTTTGAGTTGAAAATAAATCACACTCCACAATTATGTTGACAATAGGCTATTCTGTTTGAACTGGAATTAGATTTTAAATGTAACTAACAACATAAATTGAATAGATTAAATTAAATTGGTTATTAATGCTGTATACAACACTACAATATTATGAAGATCTCAAACTAAAAACCAAATTAAAAGATGCATTAATTGAAGTTTGGAGACATTTTAAAATGCTTTTTTTTTTTCAGAAACGCATCTGACACTTGTGACGCTCGGGGGGTAGCAGTGCGCGACTGCTCTTCTGAATAAATGAAACCTATGTAACACAGGTGTTTACACTTAAATTAAAAATATTTGACCAAAGAAAAACTGGAGCAGGACTAGAGAGAGATAAATATGATTTAGATTTTTATTTCTGTGACAGGAGACATGACATTAACAGCAGTCATTTCATTCCCCTGCTTTAAAGCAGCTCCTTTAATTCCACAGCTGACGCTGCTAAAAAGACTTTTTCTGGATCTCCGAGAGCAGAACTTCAATCTCCGAACTCGTAAAGTTCTTCTTTTTTACTTTGCGATGTCATTTATGAATGGGCACTTCCTTGTATGTGGGGCAGGAACGTATATCCTTATGGTGGTTTTTTTGGGTGGTAATTATGCTAATCTAATCTCCTCTCCTCGTGCGCGAGCACCTGGACACACATTCATCAGTTTACGCTCCTTGTTTACACCTTTTTCCTGAAGATAGAAGAGTTTGTTGAATCGGACGTGGCATGTTCGTATGAACCCTTCGTACGAACAAACGTAAGAGAAATTTAGGATAAGAATACGAACATGTTCTTGCATGAGGCCCATTGTTCCAACAAAGTAACCATCTACCAAACACAAATTTCCTTACTTTTTCATGTTAGGAATATGAAATATCGTGCACACATTTGTGTTTGCTTCCAATCAGGAGTTGTGGTTTGATGCGTTTTGGTACAATTTTAAAAAACAAAAGCACAGTGTTGTTTTTTTAAGGTGTAAAAACTCACCTTTCATATTTTTATTATTTTATAACTCCTATCCTTAGGCTGTAGAATTTAGGGAACATCTTTGAGTTTTGGTCGCCTTGGACGCCATGATGTAAGTGAAACCGTTGGAACTCACTTGGATCCTGAAGTAACTGACTGGCGATGGAGACCCTCCTTCTCTCACCCCCGGAGATTCCTGGGAAAACGCGACCTCCGATGACACTATGAGCGACGTGACTCAGACTCAGCTCGGCCATCACCGCTGACACCTAAACACGAGCCAGAGGTCGAAGGTTAGAACAAAACAAAACAGAAGTTTCTCTCTTTTAGACATTAAACCTAAAAAAACCCTCCAAGGTTCTGAGTTGTGTCGCTTTTTTTGTCGTTGAAGTAGGCTGACACATTAAGAGATACATTTTTTTAATGGAAACCGCAGAAGAGACAAAAAAAAGTGACCTTTTTCTTGATGGCTTCTGCCGAGTGTTTCCTCAGGGCCAGCTGTGCTGTGTAGGTCAGAGTCTCCTCCACTGTCAAGTAACTCAGCAAATTATCACTCTGGACCAAAAAAAACAAAACAAAAAAAAAAACAAGGACAAAAAGCATTTTTAAAAAGAGCTCCACTACCTTACTGAACCCTGCAGTAAATTATTCTAAAGTCATAATAAAGTCATTCTGACTTAAAATGGTCTTGCTGTGCTCTTTTACCTGAACTGAATTTAACACTGTATTCAACCAAAAATTGAAATCAAAGCAATAATTGTGTTTTCAAATTGTTAAAGTACTTTTTGTTTTCTTAGTTTTGGCCTGTTAAATTAAAAAGACACCTTTTTTAAACACAAAATTTTCTTTGGTTGGTCAGCTTTTTTATTCTAAAATGACTCAATTAAACAAAAGCGGGACAAATATTGTAATTTAAAACAATAAAAACAAAGAGATAGCCACATAAGTATACGGTAGTTGTTGTTAAGGCATTGTAGCCTTCAGAATCACAAAATAAGTGCTTTAAAGGAAAAGGTGCATAATTTAGACTCTGTCCAGATCCACTACTGCAACAAAATAATGGATTTATTCAATAAAAAACGCCTCTGTTTTACTCTTGTGTGCATTAGTACAATATGTTTTGTCTCTTGGTGTATTAATTAACCCAAAATGAAAGATTTAGAGTCACTTTTCTACTCTGTTTTTGTAGAACATCCCTGCACACATCCTTTTAGGATATTCAGGGTCGCGCTTCTTACTTTTCTGTTCATGACTGTTGTGCAAATCATCTTGTGATACACACACTTCAAACACCTGATTCTGCTGCCTGCCTCTATAAACAGTGGATGACCCCCCCCAACCCACCCACCGCCTCCCATTCCCGCCCCTCCTTATTCTCCCATCCGAATGACTTTAATATCAAGAGCTCATATCACCTCCTCATCAGTGGCTTAGCTGTGGAAGTTAATGACGAGGCTCAGAGAGCAGAGAGAGAGAGAGAGAGAGAGAGAGAGAGAGAGAGAGAGAGAGAGAGAGAGAGAGAGAG